TCTGGGGCTTATTTTCTGATATTTCCTTAAACATCTGAGGTGTTGTAAGGCTGTGCTGAGTGACATCTGTTTCCGATGACTCCCAGAAAAGTGCTTTTTAGGGAGCTGAGTTTGGAAAGCCTTTAACCCTTTAAGGAATCATCAGAACAAGAGAAATCCTGTAATCCCCAAGAACAAGAACGCCCAGATTTCCTCAGACTGAGCAGCCAGGACCCCAAAAATCAGGGGCTGCTTTTAATAACTTTGGCTTTATCTTCCCAGTGCTCAGTTCCTCTTTGATCTGCTGCCTCTGCAGGACAATCTGGTGAAGGTTCAGCTCCACCCAACGGGGTTTGCTCCGAAACACCGGCAGTTGGGTGGTATTTTGGCAGAGAGAAGAGGAAGCTGTGCAGCAGCAGGGCCAAACTCCCACTGATTGGAACAGCTTGGCACTCAAAAGAGCCGATGACAAACTTTGGGAAGCCACTGAGGCTGTTTGTTATTTTCCCAGGGGCAAGCCTGGAATGTGCCATGAAGCTGGGGGGAATTGTAGTGTGTGTCCAAGATTACAGCAGAACCAAACCCATCCTGCAAGGGCCTGAATTTGTTTGTTTAGTCTCACATCCCTCACTCAGGGAGGTGAGTTCAGCCCATTTCCATAGCCAGGAGTCACTTCTGTCAGGGAATCACAGAATATCCTGAGCTGGGAAGGACCTCTAAGGATCATCCAGTCCAACCCCTGGCCCTGCACAGACACCCCAACCATAAGAAAGGGACATTACAAACCTGCTCTTATTGAGATTATATATATAGAGAGAGGGGTTTTATGTATTTATATGTGATGTTTTTTAAACACCTGAGCACTTCAGTCAGTTCACTGTCCAGAGAGAGAGCCTGTGTATTTCTATATACTCTATATATCATATATATATGATCTTTAAGGTTCTTTCCAACCCAAACCATTTTCTGATTCTATGATTAGGAAGAAATTCCTCCCTGTGAGGGTGGGCAGGCCCTGGCCCAGGTTGCCCAGAGAAGCTGTGGCTGCCCCTGGATCCCTGGAAGTGTCCAAGGCCAGGTTGGACGGGGCTTGGAGCCACCTGGGCTGGTGGAAGGTGTCCCTGCCCGTGGCAGGGGGTGGCACTGGGTGGGCTTTAAGGTCCCTCCCAACCCAAACCATTCCATGAATCTCTGATATCTACACACAGCATATAAAGAATGAGAGAAAAGCAGTTACCATCTGTTTTACATGGAACTGAAACAAGGAACTAAGAAATTAGTCAAGGATCATAAATCAGTTCCAGAATTGAAAACTAAAGCAAACTCCCTTTAGTCAGTCCTTCTTTGGTCTGGGCAGGAAAGCGCTCCGAGATCTGTTGATAAGAGTGGAACAAAGCACTGAGATATTCCTAAGGCAACATGTTCAGCTCCACGACATCCAAAGAACTGGAAGAGGGGAGTTTTACCACTCTACCTGCAATAATTCTGGTGCAATTCTCCTCCCATTTACCCTTCAGCAACCCACCCACCGTCTGCAAAGCTGAGCGTGCCCCACGGGCTCCTTACCTCGTGTTTACTCCAGGGTTAAGAGCACGCACAGAGCACAGGGCACACAGTGCCTGCTGCGTGGGAGTAAAGGCCACATCCCACTGCACAGGGTATTTATAGCACAGCACTTTTTGGGAAGTGAAACTCGTGGCCGGTGGAGCGTTGGAGCCGATGCCTCAGGTCGAGGTTCCGAGGAACAGGAGGGATGGGAACGGGTTGGACGCTGCGGCTCCAGGTGGCTCCAGGGGGTCACCACCAAAGCAGTGAGGCTCAAGTGAGGCTCCCTGGGGTTCTGGGAGCTCCAGGATCTCTTTGGAGGGAGTATTTCTGCAGCTGGCACATCAATCCCGTGTCCCCAGCAGAGGACAGAGGGTTGGTACCACAGTTCCTGCTGGAGGAGCTCTTCCCACGGACAAAGTCCCCACAGGACAGGCCTGGGTCTCCCGGGGTCTGCCGTCTCCCCAGAGCTCCAGGTCTCTCCACACAGGTTCTCCAGACACCAAAACTCCATCACAACCTTCACCCAGGGACAGTGACTCTGGGAATGCCAGCACACGGCGGCCCCCACATCTCCTGGGCTTCTAGGAGAGGGATTAGGATGAGAGAGCACAGTCTGGGGTGGCAGCGGGGCAAGGCGGTCAGAATCCTCCTTTGAAAATGGTGACATGCCAGCGGGGCTGGTGGGATGATGCAGCAGATCAGGCAGGTGGAATGAGCCGTTCCCATCCCTAGCTCCAGACTGAAGCTGTCCTGGTCCAAGTCCTTGTGTTGTAACACACAGCTCATGGCCCACACACACACACACACACACCTCGAGCACACTGAACACTCCAAGCTCCAAGCTGTGTCTGCCCAGTGTCCCAGAGTGGCTCCCCGTGATCCAGCCAGGCAGGAACAAAAGGCCTCTCTGAGCTGTGGCTGCAATCACACACGCAGGTCTCGATGTTACTGGGTCTGCCCGAGGAGGGTCTCTGCATACTCTGCAGCAGTCATTAACGCAGCTATTCGAGTGCTCCCCCTCCAGCCCGAGTGCCGGGCACGCCCTGGGTGATTTACACGAACAGCAGCACAGCTGTATTTGCATTTGCTCCGTGGGAGCTGGTCTGGAGAGCGACTCGTGGGTTTGAGTGCTGCGATAGGAGCCAGAGCCGGCCCAGCAGAGCCCGGCCCGGCTGGGGGGATGGACACACCGAGCTCTCGCCCTCCTCCAAACACTCTTGCCGGGCTGCAGAGGTGTCTGGAGCAAAGGAAACACTGGGTGTTCTGGATTTAAGGGCTGAACGTGGGCTTGTAACGAGCTCCACGAGTTCTTCTCTCCTCCTGTCCTCCCTCTTCACCAGCTCCAGTGGAAAGTGTGCCTTGTTCAAAACCCACACCATGAGTATTAAGGTCCTATGTATTTTGTCAAAAGCGTTGTTTGCTCTTCGTTCCACTTCCTTCATTGTGATAAAAAGATCAAGGTCGTGAATACCTCTAAATGCAACGTCACAATCACCTCAGCTACTCTTGGTGAAAACAACCTCAGGCTTTTAAAGGCAAATGATGTCAAATGTTGTCAAATTATCTAAACTTCTGAGCAGCATTACGTGTGGAGATGCTTCTAGTTGTTCTTTGTCTTGCCCAGCAAACATCCCACATCCTTTAAGTGAGAATAAGATAACAAGGAAAAGGTGACAGTTATGTGACCAGTTACTATCACAACCCCTGCCTCACTTAAGGTTCTCCTACAGAATTAGGAAGCAATTCCTCCCTGGGAGGGTGGGCAGGCCCTGGCACAGGTTGCCCAGAGAAGCTGTGGCTGCCCCTGGATCCCTGGAAGTGTCCAAGGCCAGGTTGGAGCAACCTGGGCTGGTGGGAGGTGTGGGAGTGGCACTGGATGGGCTTTGAGGTCCTTTACAACCCAAACCGTCCTGTGATTGTATGAAGATGATTTTTTACTCTGTGACTGGAGCATGTGCTGCCCAAATGGGGGAGCACACAGAGCATGAACCCAAAACCCAGCTTTCTCCCCACACCCAAGTCAGAGCTGACCACAGGTCAGTTCCTCCAGGAAGGACTGAAAACCATCTGCTTTCCTTGGAGAGCTGACCTGGTGAGAGCAACCCCACTCCCAACATTTTCCATTTCCACTTTAATCAATTCCACAACCTGCAGGAAAGCCTGTTGAACTACAACATCCCAGGTGTGACAGTGACCTACTGTGACAGGTTCTCTTAACTCAGGGTTTGTACCCAGAGTTAAAAAGGCAACAGGAGATTATTCTACAACACAATATAGAACCACACAATGGTTCAGGTTGGAACAGACCTCCGAGATCACTGAGTGCAACCAACACAGCTCTGTTCTCTTAGGGCTGAAGATTTATTTCTGAACTATGTGAAGATGCTGAGCAAGATGCCCCTGCATGGAGCCAGTGTGTGCTGAAGGTGAAGGAGTCCAAATCCAGAGGGAATAAGCAATGGAAGAAATTCTCGAACGGGGCTTGGAGCACGCTGGTTTAGTGAAGGTGTCCCTGTACATGGCAGGGAGTGGGACTGCATTGGCTGTAACGTCTCTTCCAACCCAAACCATTCCCTGGTTCTGTAAGTACATCAGAGTTCTTTTTTGAGAGCTCTGAAATTACCTCTGGAATTATTTCTTTCCCATGGCTCCCACCTCCCTGGGGCAGGGACCGAGTCACCCACCCCCACCCTGCCTTTGGTGTCAAAGCAAGGAATAATGGTACCTGGGCAAACCAGAATCTGAATAATGAACTTACTGGGGAGCATTAGAGGCTACATGGTGGTGGTGGAGGTGGGACCTATCAAAGTTATCACAAATTTACACTACTGAAAATAGCGGGACTGACACCTCCTACCCCCCAGAGCCACGGCGGGGGCAGTGCCGGCACCCAGGGACACGCTCCCTGCAGCCCTTTCACCGGCAAAAACGGCCACGGAGTCTTAGAACAGCGAAAAAAAAATTAAATGAATGGGAAGTCTCGGCTTCTGGAGGCAAACGCGGTGTAAAAGGTGAGGCTCTGGGGCGGCTACTGCGGTACCGAGGTACCACCAAGGTGGCTCCGAGGCGGTACCGACGTGGCCTCGAGCACCTCCCACGCCCGTCAGAGAGGCTCGAGGGACAGACCCGAGGGGGCCGCGACACTCGGACCGGCCGGAGCTGCCAGCAACATGGCGGCCGATCGTGAGGGCACCGGCGGCCGCTCCCGGCCCCGCCCCCCCCGGCCAAACACGCATGCGCAGAGCGGCGGCTCCCGGAGGGACCGCGGGGGGGTGGGCCCTGCTTGGCAGGAAGCCCCGCCCACTTCTGGGAAACCCGGCCGGCTGGAGGCGTGGCCGGAGGGCGGGAAGGGCGCTGTGATTGGGCGCGACGGACGGCGGGGCGGGGTCTGGCTGTGAGGAGGGGCGGTGATTGGCTGTGTGGCGGAGGGGGCGTGGCCAGCGCCGGGCACCGCCTGTCAGTGAGCGGGAGCTGCCGAGGAGGCCTGAGAGGCGGCGGGGCCGGGCCGGGCTGAGCCGGGCACCGGGCCGGGCTGTGCCGAGCGGGGCTGTGCTGGACCCAGCCGTGCCGCAGCGGTAGGTGCGGGCCCGGCGCGGGTCCGGGGGGCGGTGTTCGGTGCGGGGGCCGCGGCGGTAGGAACCGTGCGGAGCTTCCGCAGCCGCCGGCAGGAGCAGCGTGTGAGGGGAGCGAGCCCCGGCCGGGCGGCTCCGGGCGGGTCCGAGCGGCTGAGGGGCTCTCCGGGACCTGCCGCAGCGCTGTGTGTTTGTGTGTGTCTGTTCGGAGCCTGGATGTCACTGTCCTGCTCGGCACGTCCTCGGCCCCGGGCTCCCCGTGCCCTGAGCTCCCGATTCCCTCTGCTCCCAGTTCCACGAGCTCCCCGGTTCCCTGAGCTCCTGATTCCCTGATCTCCCAGTGCTCTGGTGTCCCGGTGTCCCGTTCCTCTCGGTTCTCTGATTTCCCGGTGCCCGGCAGTTCCGGGATCCCTGAGCTCCCGGTGGCTCCAGCTCCCCGATTCCCTGGATTCCCCGATTCCCTGGATTCCCCGATTCCCTGCTCTCCCGCTGCAGGGACTTCACCGATCCTGAAGAAGGTAGGACGAGGCACAGCCGAGCTCAGCTCATCCCGAACCCCCCCGCTCCCCTCTCGCTCCGAGTCTCGCCCTTCTCTCTGACACAACTCATCTTTTAATTTTCTTTCTTTTCTTTTCGTCTGCCAAAAAGGTTCAAAATGTTTCTTTGCTGATTAATAAGTTGCCGCTGTGGTTGATCTCAGATGCTTCCTGCCCGCTTTAACGGGCTGCATTAGAAACATGTGTCGGGCGCCGTGCACATGGAGGGGCAGAGCGGTGTGAAACCGGCACCCATAAACAAAGCCTGAATTTCTTTTTCGGCCGCCTTTCTGAACCCTTTCATGAGTAATAACCGGCGCTGGTGTGCTGTGACATTAGTGATAAGAATAGTCGGGGCTGTAGTGAGCTGCTTTATTGCATTTTACCTCCGTCGAGATCTGTTATTGGCACGGCCAGTGGATTCCTTGGGAGTGACTCACTTGCTATTAACTATTAAATTTTAACTGTATTAAGAGGCTGAATCTTGAAGCTGTGAAGAGGGAGCTTAACAAATAAACATATAACAACCGAAACCCGAAAGCGTTGGTGGGACCTGATCCAACAGCACTGGGATTAATGAAGTTAATTGGAGTTAATGAAGTTGGAGTTAATGAAGGTCTGTCCTGAGCCCTCTCCCCGTGTGTTGAATGAGGGAGGGCAGAGCTGAGCTGCTCTAACAGGGATGTGGTGCTGAACTGTTAACTGCGGCTGCCAAGAGGATGGAGGCAAAGGCACCATAACCCTTTCACTTTCCTTCTGGGACTTTTCAGGGTTGCTGGCGAGGGTCAGATGTGTCGGTGGAGGCAGAGGGAGCCAGGCCTGGAAGACAGAAAGATTCCCATGTTCCAAGAGGAGCAGCTGGCTGGGAGTAAATGAGACCTGAGTTAGGAAAGGGTCTGGAGGTGCTGGGAAAGGGAGATCAGGAGGATGAATGGAGGGACCAGGGGGGGTCCAGGAGGGCCAGACACGTGGGAATTGAGTGTGGAGGGCGCTGGGCATTGCTGGTCACAGCTTAGTGACACCAGGGCCCTGGAGGACATGGACCTTGTCTAAAGGCAGTTCTGTTCCTCAGTCCATATGGGAGTTTGTCCCAGGGGATTCTGCTCAGGCTGAACAGTTAGAAACCATTCCAGTCAGCTCACTCTTCTACTCTACAGTGTAAAATCATCATAACTGAATTTGCAGGACCAGTCATAACTTCAGATCACATAGAGCTGCTTCCACCTGTACTAGATGTATCTAAACTTTTGGGTTTGCCTGGCATTCCAGCCTTACTGCTTCCCTGGAGATTCCCTGGATTTTATACATGTGGTGTAAATCTTATAAATCTGGATTTTAGAAGTGAAACATAAAGTTGCAGAGCAGTGTGAAGTAACAGCAGGTGAGAGCTCAGCCCTGCCTGCTTGGGCAGGATTGATTCACACTTGTGTTTGTGGTGGCTGCTGGAAGTTGTCCCTTTAGGTGCTTGATTGGTTCATTTTGTTACAGTTTAGGAAATAACTCCACAAGTGGGTTGTCCAGGCCAGGATGTCATTAAGGAGCAGCTGAGGGAAGCAAATCCTTGCCAGGCTGAAGTTTGTTCTGATCCTTTCTGTTCTCCTTCTGTTTTACAAAGAGATTGGGAAAAATGAGCCCCTTCTTTGAATAGATGGGGCTGTGGTGGTGTTTGTAAACCCTGGACAGATGGTGTCACTCAGCATACCTTTGTTCAGCAACATGAAAAGGATTGTTCAGGGCTGAGCTGTACTCGAGGAAATGAGCACAGGTTGGGTTTGGGTGCTCTGAGAAGCCAGCCCAGTATTTCCCTGCAGATTCTGCAACCAAAGTGTTGCAATATCTTAATGTCTGGCAAGTGGAGAGGCGGTGGAGGCTCATTATCCTGCTGTTTACAGTAAGCAACACTGGTGGCTGAAGCGGGATTTGGGAAATATTTACTATCAAACCACTTTAAGGAATATGTTTACATACTTCCTGTCGTCTGCAGCGTCACCTAAGGCTGATAGTGAAATGCTGGGGGGTTTGGGGAGAAGGTTTGGCTTTCCCTGGAAAATCTGTGTGCAGGAGGGCTTGGATACACACACAGGAGGGACCAGAGGGGGTGCAACAAAACCCCAGTGGGTCACAGTGGTTATCCAAGGGGAGGTGAAGGCTCCAGGAGCACCCTGGAATAGCAACTGCTGCTCTGACTCACCAGGATTTTAATCAGTCAGGCATTCTATTTATTTTCGCTTTGGAGCTCTCAGATACACAAGGGAAGTCTCTTTTTTTTTTTTTTTTTTTTTTTTTTTCCCCCCTCTCTTAAACACTTCTCTTAAAGCAGCTTTAAGTGTGTTTTCAGGTCGGGAGGGTTGGTGAGTGTTACAACTTTTTTTATGAAGCCCCTTCTGACACAAAGTGAAACTTGTCCTGCTGACAGCGCTGAGCAGTTTAAATCACCAGCCCAGGCCTGGGCACAGCAACAGCCTGAAACTGCCCGTGCTGAAAAAGGAACTGTCTTAATTTCAGTTCCATCTGAAACATGGGCAGGGAAGGGAGCTCCTGGATGACATCCAGGCAGGGAGAGGAGGGTGGGGGGGGATGAAGGGAAGCAGTGCCTGGGGTTTGAAGGGGTTATGCATAGAACCATGGGATGGTTTGGGTTGGAAGGGACCTTAAAATCCATCCATTCCCACCTCCTGCCATGGGCAGGGACACCTTCCACCAGCCTAGGTTGCTCCAAACCCCATCCAACCTGGCCTTGGACACTTCCATATATATATATATATATATATATATATATACATACACTCTCTTTGGCCCCCAAACCAGGTTTTTAGTGCAATCCCTCCATTTAACAAGTGCCATCTTATTTATTTTTTTTTTTTCCTCCCTTTGGAAAAACGTGTTCCTTTGCCAAGGTTTGATTCTCTGATGGTTTTGATTTTACGACGATTTGCAAAATCATAATCAGCCAATTCTCTGGGTCAGTTTTTTGGCTGCAGTTTTTTTCTGCAGCATTCCCTGACAGCTATCAGCACTGGAAGGTGTGTGTCCTTCTCAGCTGACATTCCCTGCTCCGGTGAGGCAGAAATTCCTGGCTCTTCCCAGCTGTTGCTTTGTTGTGGTGGTCAGCAAAGCAACGTGGCTAAAAATGCTCCTTGTGTTTGAACAGAACCAGCAGCAGCTGCAAAGGCAACCTGAGTTAGTGCTTAAAACTCCTCTCAGTAAGGAAGTGGGAAACCTCACTGAGATAACATGGTTGGGTTTTTTTTTTCTCCCCCCCTTCAAACTAAATGTCAGTTTGAAACTGGCTCTGAGATGAGGAGAAATCTGCATTCTGTGAAGCTGACTTAGGGAGTCTTGTGTGTGTTTTAAAGCTCTTTCCCAAGTCTTTTTAACCCAAATCTACACAAAATTCACTGAAACTCTCCCCAAAGCTGCTGTCCAGGGAGGCTGGAGCCAGGCAGATGGGGCAGGATCCCACGTTGTGGTTTGCTGTGGAAGGATTCAGTGCTGGAGAGGGGTCTGCATGACTTTTGAAACACAGATCTTGCCTTCCTGAAGCACAGAAATGCTCTTTTAAGGTCCCTGCTGCAACCAGCTTCCAGCTGAGGTGGGAAGAGCTGCAGAGGGACTTGTTTAGAGAAAGGAGGGGGAGGTTTTAAAGGAGCAGAAAGCACGTGGTCATCACTTCTATTAGCAGTGTTTGAGTGTGTCCTTAATTCTGCCTCCCTACAAATCTCAGATGACCTTATCCAGTATTTCGTTTTCTCCCGGAGATTATTTGGGAGGGGGAGGAGCTGCCCCCCCGGAGCTCCACTGAGACTGTTTGGCTTTCACTGTGTAAAAACCCACTTTCTGTTTGACACCAGTGGGAACTGACATTATTAACCAGGGCTGAGTAAACCCTGGGTGCAGATAAGGAGCAAACAGGCTCTAACCTGGTGTCAGGAGCCCACTGTGGGGTTAGGAGTGGAGGACCCACTGTTATCACCCTCAGAAAGGCTGGGGGGGGAGGTCTGGGCAGAGAACAGGGGCCCACATCCAAATTAAGGGAGCTTAGCAGCCCTTGGCACCTCTGTTTGCCCCCTCCAGGTGCTCAGAGGTGAGTCCAGTCCAGGATCACACAATCCTTGAGGTTGGGATGATCCCCCAGGGCCATCCAGTCCAACCTTCAACCCGGTCCTACTGTGCCCACTAAACCCTGACGTGAAGTGCCAAGTCTGCTTGTTCTTTGAACACTCCCAGAGATGGTGGCTCCCCCTCTGCCCTGGACAGCCCATTCCAATGCCTGGTCACCCTTTCAGGGTAGAAACTTTCCAAAATATCCACTTTGAACCTCCCGTGGAGCAACTTGAGGCCGTTTCACCTTGTCCTATCACTCGTTCCCCGGGAGCAAAGCCCGACCCCCACCTGGCTCCACCCTCCTGTCAGGGAGTTGGAGAGAGCAATAAGAGCCCCCCCCGAGCCTCCTTTTCTCCAGGCAGAAATTACATCTCAAAAATTCTTCGAAAATCCTGATTCTTCATCTTTTAATCACAACTTCTGCCCACCACGCTTTGCTGTACCTACCATAAAAATAGCCTTGACTCTTCCAAGCACCTGAGAACTGAGCAGCAACACTTAAAGCAGGCTGGGCTCGCAGGTTCTGGTCCTGCACAGCCTCCTAGACCTGAGTCACACATCAAGCTGTCTGAGTTTGCCCTCTTGGAGGCCGTTGCTCACAGTTGCTCCTCGGTCTCTTTGAGTGAGGCACCTGCTTTGTTGACTTTAATCTCGGGAACGTTTCCTTGTTACTCTTTCCCACCTCGGAGGGTGGTGACAGAGGACTTGCAGTTTTGCTTCTCCCCTCCCTCTGCTGTCTTATGGAATTTGGGTATTTTTTTGGCCATGGGAATTGGCCGGTGCTGAAGGACCTTGAAGGTGAGAGGGGAGGGCAAGGAGAGACAGAGTTAATGCAAGTCAGGAGAGAGTGAGTATAAAAATAGCCCTGAACTTGTCAGTTTGGTCGCTAGTGGCTGGGTTAGTCATCTGGCAGGCTCTGCTGCTGCTGCTCCAAGGGATTATTTTACAGCACTGAGGGCTGACATAATTTCTGTAGAGGAGAGGGAGCGGGACGGGTGTAATGAGTGGGATACTGTCATCAGCACTTCTTTTGCACAGCAGCTGTTCTCTGTTGAGCCTCTGAATGTGGTCATTGTTGACTCTCCTTGTACACCTGCCAGGTTGTTAAGTGACTCATCACACCGGGGTTCGTGCCCTTGGCTCCCAAACTTCTCCATTCCCCTCTCCTTGGTGGTCCTTCAGAGCACCACCCACTCCTTCTCCCATTTTCCTGAGTCATCCCTGATGCCAGGAGCCTCTTGGAGTAAATGTCCTGTCTCCCCAAGCAGCTGCTCAAGGTGGGGAAAAAAAGGAAAGCAAAAAGGAAATAAAAAAACAAAACAAAACCAAAACTCAAAGGTGGACCAGAAGTGGTCCTGAGATCCTGGTTTTCCTGGTTCTCCTTCTCCTATACTGGTACTTAACACCTGTATGTGTTGGCCATGAGTTTCCAGGGGTTGTTTGATGGTGGGAATGTCCATCTGAAGGTGTTACACTTGACCTGTGAGAGGAGCAGCCTGAGGAAGGCATCTCTGCACTTAAAGGGACAGCACAGCAAAGGCTGGTTTAGAAGAAAACAACTGGTTTAACTTCTCCAGAATCCGAGTGAGGGGATCAGGGGCCAAGCCAAGGTTGTGTTTCCTGTGGGTTCGTGTTGTAGGGAAATCCTATTTCAGCTGAGGGAATGTCCCTTTGAAACCTGCGTGGTCTCGTGCTCTCAGTACTGAGAATATAACACTGAATATTCAGGTTTTCAGTGGTCCAAGTCAGGGGTGGAGAGGTGGCACCCTGGGGTTCTTCTCCAGCTCAGAGCTTGGGCAGGACTTTGATTTAGTTTAAATTACTGAATAATCTGATACCTCCACAGCCTCAGTTTCCCACGGACTGCGAGCTGCTTGCGTCTGTGAGGTATTTTGACGAGTGCTTCATTTTTTTTTCTGCTCTCCCTCAGCGTCTCTCTGAAGCTGGGAAATGGCAGTGATGGGAATTGCATGCCAGGGAGCTCCTGATGCAGCTGTCAAGCACAAGAAGGAGCTCACGGCGGCCGAGGGGCTGAAGGAGACAGCAAGCGAAAAGCAGAGCAGCGTCTGCAAAGTGGAGGATCCAAAGAAGGCCATCTTTGACAGCCAGTGGAAAATCCTGAATGATGTAATCACCAAAGGAACAGCAAAAGAAGAAACAGAAGGAGGCTGTGCATCGATTTCTATCATTGCCCAGGCAGAATGTGAGTAGCAGGGCTGGCTGGGCTTCATTGAGGAGCAGGAATGTGCAGGGAGGGGGGAGATTGCACGGCGCTCCTGCAGGGCTGAGGCCACAGCTATTTGTAATCCCAAGTGGGGTGGAGTTGGTGACACATCCCAGGCTCTATTTAGGAAGCTCATGAAATCTCCTAATAATGTGGCAGCATCCACTGGCTAAAACAGAAATAACAGACCAGTGCAGGTTAAAACAGAAATAACAGACCGGGGCACCTCAGCTAAATCCCTGTCCTGGGGGTCATCTGTTCTTGGCTGCCTTCTGAAAGGTGTTTAAAACCCACATAAAGCTGTCAGCTGGGAAGGAGCTGGGGGATCAGGGGATGGCTGGGAAGCTTCCCAGTGCTAGGGGAGCAGGAATGTGGCGTGGGTGGTGTGAGATGACTGTGCAGTGATTTGTCTGGGTCACGGAGGCAGCGCGTCGGCAGAGTTGTGTGAGTGCAGTTGTCACTGGGAGACACTTGGCCTGGTGTCTGAGACAAGTGGTGACCCTGTTTTCTCTCACACAGGTGAAAACAGTCAGGAGTTCAGCCCCACTTTATCAGAGAGATCCTTTATTGCCCACAGCAAACGTTACAGGTGAGAGAGCTCTTCACATGAGCACATGGAGTGGCTTCACTGCTGTGTCTGCTGACTTGGACTTGCTCCAAATCACCCTGGCTCTGTGTGCTCATAGCATTTTTTTTCCCCCAAACACTCCTGCCTGAGTTAGTTTTTCAGTCTGAGGCCTGGTAAGAATGTGCCTTTCCCCAAACATCTTCCTCAAACCCTTTTTTGTTGTGTGAGGGGAAAAAACACAAGTTTAAGCACAAACCCCATGAAACACCTTGCATTGTCTTACTGTCAGTGCCTGCAGATTGACTGCCCTTGTGGCCTTCTGCCTCCATTCTGGATTGGCAGATTTGGTTTGGAATGGTTGGGTGATTTCTTTTTAAAGCAGAAGGATCCAAGGGTAAATTCTCAGTCTTTTTTTTATTTTTAACTGAACTTTTGAAACTGTGTTGCCCCATCCCCTGAAAAGCTGTGTGAAACTTGGGCTGCTGCTGGGAGGATTCCACTCAGAAAAGGGAGCAGCTTTGTTTCTGGGAAGGGTAAATGAAAGGGGATGAGAGAACCTTTGCTTGGTGACACCATCAGCAGCAGAAGGTGTAGATGGAGTTGTCAAGAGAAGCTGGAAGTGGTAAAGGAGTCACAGTTGTGGTGGGCGAGGAGTTGCTTTTCAGGAGTCGTCTGGGAGTGAGGAATATGTGCCCTGGAGCTTTCTTGGGCACTGGAGCTTTGTCAGGCAGCCCCAGCAGCCTGCAGTGGGTGCCTGGGACGCACAGTGAGGTGCTGCTGTTTCCTGGGGCTCTCAGACACTGAACTGGGGGGTGCATGGTTTGACATTTTGGCTGAACTCTGCCTGTGGGATCCTTCAGCAGTAAAGCAGCAGGAGAAGATGGAGAGAGCAGTGCTGGCTGGGAGCTGCATCACTGAGCAGGAAAGGCTGCTCTGAGTCCATGGGATGGTTTCTTCATTTGAAGATCAAATGTCCTGTTTTCTCCTACAGCTTTGATTCTAAAAAACCTTAACTAGGATGAGTTGGTTCCACACAAATCTAAGGACTGGTGTGGAATCTCAGAATCACAGAATAGTTTGGGTTGGAAGGGACCTTGAAGACCATCCAGTTCTTCCCCTGAATAACTGCACACAAATGTTCCTCTCGAGTTCCATCTCCTCCTGCACCCCCAGCTGGAGTGCTGCCAGGGCTGCTGTGTCTGTCCATGTGTTCCTAGAAATCAGACTGTAATACAAAGCTTCACACACCAGCACATTTTGGCTTTTTAAAGCTGTTTTGTTGGAGTTCTCTCAGTCATCCCTTTTCTTTGAGCAAAGCCTGTTTTCCTTTCGAACAGAGCAGGCGTTGAGGTTATGAACACTTTTATTAATTTAAATATTTTTTTTTAAATAGATTGCATTTACACATCATTTCTGTGTTCACTAGGAATCAGCCACAGACTGTCTCAGAGCAGCCTGCAGATGTTCAGTGCTTTCCTCTTTACTTTGTCATGTACAAGAAAGAGGTTCCAGGAGAGCTGGAGGGGAATATTGGACAAGGGATGGAGGGACAGGACACAGGGAATGGCTTCCCACTGCCAGAGGGCAGGGATAGGTGGGATATTGGGAAGGAATTGTTGGCTGTGAGGGTGAGCAGGCCCTGGCACAGGTTGCCCAGAGCAGCTGTGGCTGCCCCTGGATCCCTGGGAGTGTCCAAGGCCAGGTTGGACGGGGCTTGGAGCACCCTGGGCTGGTGGAAGGTGTCCCTGCCCACGGCAGGTCTTTAAGATCCCTCCCAACCCAAACCATCCTTTCTGTGATCCAGCCTTGTTGTCAATCCCAAATCCAGTCAGACCCCAAACCATTCCATGATCCAGTCTTGTTGTTCCTTGCAGACTTTGTAAACACTGGCAGACTCTTGCTTTGCTTCCCCTGCCCACATTTCTTCCTCACCATCGTGCCAGCCTGCACCTTGAACTTCCACAGAAAACATGAAGTTGTGTTTTATCTCTCTGTTCCTTGGCTCTCAGGAGGCAGAGAGCTCTCTCTGGGGGTCAGAGGGTTTTCCTGAGCTGTGCTCTCACCTCTCAGAGCCCTGCTGTGTTTTTTTTTGGTTTCCAGCAGCCGCTCGGACAGCCTCGACCACATCCCCAACAATGTGGCCCACGCCACCGAGGGGCAGATGGCCCCAACCTGCTGGAGGGGCAGGCACAGGGGCAGGGCCAGGAAGAAAAGGCACAAGAAAAGGTCCAAGCTGAAAGGACAACCTGCCACTGGTGGCAGGAGAAGCCCCAGAACTCCAGAACAGGAGAGCTGCACCCCCATTCCCGTCCAGGTGAGAATCCCTGACCTTCCCCTCCTACTGTGGGGACCCCTGCGAACTCCTAACAGGTGAATTTTGGGTGCTTATACCGAGATTCCTCCTCAGCTGTTCTGTTTTCTTTTCTAGGAGGATGAATCACACCCAAGTGCTCTTTACAGGAACAGTTTTTGGGCTTCAGAATTTAACAAGGACTCTGTTTATGATCCGCTGCCCTTTGAGAAACCTGAGGGAGCTCTGCCCACGGGCAAACCCCATTCCCCCAGGAGCCACTACAAAACTGAACTGCACAAGCTCATCAGCCCCATTCAGTGCCTCAGTCACGTTTGGAGACAGAGGGACACTGTCCCCCAGCCTGAAACTCTCCATCCCTTTCCCTACAACATCCTACCCCCCCATTTCCCCCCTCTGGACAGTACCCTCCCTGCCAGGAAGCGGAATGCTCTGGAGTCCTGCTTCCCTGCTGACCTCAGCTATCGAGACAGTCGCCTCTCTGGCCTCAACTTGGAGTACCCTTTCCCCAAGTGCCTCAGCCAGTCCGTGAAAAGCAGCTCAGACAAACTCTCCGTGGAGGAATATTTGGTGGACGCCTTGAAGGGGAGCGTGAGCTTTGGGGAACCCCAGAATTTAGCCAGCCTGGCCAAGACCTGGAGAGGAGGTGGGCTGGAGCCCAGGAAGCAGCTCTGTGAAGAAAGTGCCAATGAAGGAGTGCTGCTGAACGAGGTGAGCTGGGGAGGGGGGAGGCTGCTGGGCTTCAGAGCAGGGAGCATCTGCATCCAGGGGCTCTGGATGTGCTTCTGAATGGCTCTTGATCTGGCTGAAGCTGCCAAATAAAGATGCAGTGGGTTTGGTTTTTTTAATCATCACAGAATCACAAAGTGTTCTGAGTTGGAAGGAACCCGTAAGGATTGTCAGGTCTAAGTCCTTAAGTGACTGGCCCACCCAGGGGGTGGAACCTTGGTGGTGTTGGCACCACGTTGTAACCAGCTGAGCTCATCTCAGGGTTATCCCTGCAGGATGTAGAGCCCTGTCTGTCTCAGGTTTTGGCCCTTCCCTGTGCCCACCCAGCAGGCACTCAGGGCTGTGTCTGAGCAGGGTTTGTGTGCCCAGGCAGGTCAGCCACGTCCTCTCTGCTGCCTGTGCAGGAGCCCGGGCCCTGCAGGTGAACAGGCTGCAATATTTGTTACCTCTGGATGGCACAGACAGAAACCAGGCCTGGGTGGATGTGGAGGGGCAGGAGGGATGTCTGTGCCTCTGCTGGGAGCTCATCCATCAGCCCTTGCCAAACACAGGGCTGGGGCACAGCAAAGCATGTCAATCCTAAGGTGTGATTCACTTCTGAACTCAGTTCTTTCTTGCCGCCTTAATCTCCTCTGAGAGGACTTCTCTGGAATCAGAGTGACCCTGTCAGTGTTGTCTGTGGAGTTCAGGGTGTCACTTACCTGCCTGAATGTATTTACAGCATCACCTGAGGCACAGTCTCCATCTACTGACTGCCAGAAAGCTTTAGCTCGTGCTCAGTGTCTGCATTTGGTCACATGAATCTGGGTTTGCTGTGGGATTGAGCTTTGTATTTAATGTCCTGCAGGAGAAGGGAAGGCTTTGGAGCTCCAAAGCCATCCAGATACTGGTGGCTTTTCTTTACAGCAGTAAATTTAAATCAAGCAGAGCCCAGAGAAATCAAGTGGATTGATCCTGTGTCATTTAATCTCGAGCCTGTGACTGAAGTAGTTCTGCAGAGGGATTTTTAGAGGGGTGCTGTGATATCACTGTGCTGCTTCTGGAAATGTTGATCTCTGTCTGTGCAGCTCAACATTTAAGTAGTGTGTTTTTTTTGGTTTTTTTTTAAATTTGCTTCATCTTGTTTTCTGATCTGAACTTGCAGAAACTGAAGCCAGTGGATTATGAGTACAGAGAAGAGGTTCACTGGACCAAATGCCACGGTTCCTTGGGCATTGGCTCCTTTGGAGAGGTGTACAAGATAGAGGACAAACAGACAGGATTCCAGTGTGCTGCCAAGAAGGTAATGATGATGTGTGAGAGAGGAGGGTTTCCTGGCACAAGAAGGCACATGCAGATAAATCTCCCCTCAGGGTGAAGTGCTGCTGCAATTGTGCCCAAGGAGGAGCTTCGGGGTGATGGCAGGGAGAGAAGCACATGGAGAACCTGGGGGTGCACAGGGATCAAGCTTAGCAACCAAAATTAAGACCAGAACTTGGCTCAGGGTGCCTCAGGGCTGCAGGCAGAGTGGCAAGTGCAAGATGAGGAGAATATGAACTGTTTTATTTGAACTTGAATAGTTTCATCCCCTCTTCAAGCTGATGTTTCTCACATTCCTCCTCTAGAAAACTTCACCCAGCGTGTGGGAAGTGCTTGTCTTGAGCACAAGAAAGATACTGGATGCAGAAAGAACTGGAACTTGCATTTTTCAGTTTAAAATGTTCACTTTTCCCTGTTTACACTGGGCTCCACGTGTTGCCTGGGGACAGATGGAAGTGGCCAAATGACCAGCTCTTTATCCATTTGGGGTGTCAGCTGTAGAAACAAATTAATCCCCGTTCTGCATCCTCACAGCTTGCATGTGGAACTCTGTGGTGACTCAACCAGCTTGCTTTCTGTGATCCATTTTGCAAATACACAGGCTGGGGAGAAATAGCTGTTCCTAGAGGGCTGCACTTTCAGGAAGGAGGATGGTTGTGCTGAAAAGGGAAACATGAGAGTAGGAGAGGCTGGAGTCTTTAAAAGGTGTCAGCTTTTTTTCCCTAAGTACTGGAGGATTTCAAATTATGCATCTTTAGATGTCAGAAACGCATCTTTTTAAGACCAAACTCTGAATCTAGAGAGTTCTAACGTGCAGGTTGGACGCTTCCCCATGATTTTTTTCCTTTTCCATGAGTAACTGTGTCCAATTCCTGCTGCCTGCCTGTGCTAGGGGGGGACTACCTGACCTTCTTTCACCAGACTTGGTGTTGGAGGCACCTGCTCTCCGAATTCTTGAGGTGAAAGAAAACTAACTATAGCTGGATTGCTGACAGTGAAGAAACATGATGCATCCTTTCCCACCAGAACCTTAATGACTCATGTTTTCCTTCTGGTCTTTAGCAAATTCTTGCTTTATTTTGCTTGGCTGAATTCAGGGCTTTTCTTTAACCGTTTTCAGGATGAACAGCACCTAAAACAGTGACTGTGCACACTCGTGGCTGTATTCCATGTTCCCTCCTGCCTGGGGAGAGTTGAATTTTTGCCAGGTGTTGCACCACCCTTAATTTTTTCCCCTCTTTCCTGAAAGCAGGATGTTCAGCTGTCAGAACTATCCTCATGCTGAAACAGAGGTTATCTTCCTCCTGCAAGGCTCCCAGTCCTCAGCTGCAAGCTGGAGGCACTGCAGCCTGGCTTTTTGATCAACCTTCCCTTTTCCTCAGACGCTGAGGATTTAGGGACTAGTTCAGATCACCCTGAGTGTTTCCCACTTGCTGCTGTCCCACTCTTGAGGAAGGTCAGAGAATCGTGAATGCTGCAAAAGTCCTCCCAGATGGAGCCCAGTTAAATCATCCTTGTGCCTGTGGTGTTGCCCAGCCCCAGCCATCAGAGAGGGGCTGCTGTGGCAGGATTGAGCCCGGGAGTTTGCTCAGTGCTGCTTTGTTTGCCCAGGTCCAGGTGGAACATTTCCGAGCGGAGGAGCTGACGACGTGCGCGGCCGTGACGAGCCCCAGGGTGGTGCCCCTCTATGGTGCTGTGAAGGAAGGCCCCTGGGTGACCATCTTCATGAAGCTGATGGAGGGTGAGGAAGGAACAGCACAGTGCAGTGGACATTGATCTCCTCTTCCTCCTGCCCCAGTTTTTAATCTGTTAGTTCTTTGACGTCTCCGGAGTGTTAATTCCTGAGTGGGGTGGGATAGGTGTGTGTGTGATCCCTGCTGGACCAGCAAGGGGCTTTCTAAGGGGGGGAATAATTCCCAGTCCCGCCTCACTCCAGTTCAAAATATCTCTGTTTTGATCAGCAGCTGCCAGTTCTCACTAAAACATGCAGCTGGTGCTGGTTTCTGCTTCATGGCACTGAAAAAGGGGATACTGTCCCAGCAAACCCAGGTCCTTCCCTTGCCCGACGCTCTTTTTCCAGCCAGGACTGTGGAAAAATGGGCTGGGAAAAATCAGCTGGTGATCAGTAGCACCCAGAAATGTCTGATCTGATCACAGAGCAGCTGCTTTTGCTCCAAACCAGCGCTGTCAAACTGACACAAAGCAAAAAGCTTCAGGAACGAGGCCGGTGTCTGTGGGCAGCAAGAACTCGGGGGATAAACAGAAGGAACAGAGCCCTGCGTGGGAGACAAGGGCTGTCAGACCTGGAAATCCTCACTTTTTCATTGGAAACAACTGGGAAGAGTTCAGAGCTAAGCTAACATGGACTCTCTGGGTTCCTTTGCAGGTGGCTCGTTGGGGCAGCTCATTAAGCAGAGTGGCTGCCTGCCAGAGGACAGAGCCCTCAGCTACCTGGGCCAGGTCTTAGAGGGGCTGGAGTATCTTCATGCTCAAAACATTCTCCACGGAGATGTCAAAGGTAGGGGTGGTGCTTGAGGTATGCCTTGTTCTTCCCTTTTCCTCAGAAAAGGCTTGGAGATTAATTCTGGGATTACTTACTGGATTTTGAGGTCTGTGTTTGAATTGAGAGCTTCCCCTTGGTCCCGAACTGCTGGGAAATAGCATGTTTGTCACCTCTGTCTGTCATCCAGGGGGTCTGACAGGCTGCTTGCCCAGGCTGCCCCACCACGGGGGTACAAGAATCCCCAGGGCAGGTGATTGGTAGTTTATAAGCAGAGATAATTACGGCTCAGTACTTGTTTAAGCCAGTGACACTCCACAGGAGTTTTGAGCCTTTTGGGCTCAAAAAACCCCTGTTTTTTTGTGGGGTTTTGATGCTTTTCTTCCATCTCAGTGACCATAACACAGGAGGAGACTGATGAAACTCTTCTCTCTGCAGCTGAGAACGTGCTGCTGTCTGATGATGGGAGCAGAGCCCTCCTGTGTGACTTCGGCCACTCTGCTCACCTTCATCCTGACGGGCTGGGGAAGTGCCTGGTCACAGGTGAGGCTTTGCTGCTGCCTTTCTCCAGAGCTGCCCTCCTGACTCATTCTTTCTGGTGAACATTTACCTCCTGGCTCGTTTGCAAGCGGCTGTGTTTCCCAGCCTGAACATTGCTCACAGTGTCTCGTTTACTGGTGTCACTGGGGTGCATCCCACTGCCAGCTGAAGGGACCTCAGATTTGGGGGTTTCTCCTTATCTCCCAAGATTTTTGTAAGGTTTTATCAACATTTGGTGTTTTGTCCCTGCAAGAAAACACCTTGAGACTTTAAAATCCTGCTCTGACTCGTCGTGTAACCTCACCCAAGAACTGGGGAAGGATCCTGACATCCACTAAAGCAAAATGCCTTTTTTTTTTTGTCAGTTAGATTTTACAGTGCTTCTTAATGCAGCTGTTACATGTCTTCTAATGTCAAGCTTCCCAGATTTGCTTGGAAGGGGGGTTTAATCCCTATTCTGTGTGGGAGGTATGAGTCTGATAAGGAGCTGTAGGCTTGGAACAGTTTATAAGAGCACTCAGTGCTGCTTTTTGGGTTGAGGTGGAGCCTCTCTGCTCTGGAGCCAGGCTGGGAGAGCTGGGGGGTTTCACCTGGAGAAGAGAAGGCTCTGGGGAGACCTGAGAGCCCCTTCCAGGGCCTAAAGGGGCTCCAGGAGAGCTGAGAGGGACTGGGGACAAGGGATGGAGGGACAGGACAACGGGGAACTATTTTAAACTAAGAGGAAAGATTTAGATGGGATACTGGGAGAAGTCCTTCCCTGGGAGGGTGGGCAGGCCCTGGCACAGGTTGCCCAGAGAAGCTGCGGCTGCCCCTGGATCCCTGGAAGTGTCCGAGGCCAGATTGGAGCACCCTGGGCTGGTGGAAGGTGTCCCTGCCCATGGCAGGGGGTGGCACTGGATGGGCTTTGGGGTCCCTTCCCACCCAAACCATTCCATGGTTCTCAGGAGGTGATTCATCTCTCCCTTCAGCTGAGAGGACAAGGATTCTGCCTGAAGCTTCCCACCTTGAACTGGGAAGTGTTCTCTTGCTTACAGTGAGTTTTCTTCCTGCTGGTTTCAGGGAACTACGTGCCAGGCACGGAGACCCACATGGCCCCCGAGGTGGTGATGGGGAAGCGCTGTGACTGCAAGGTGGACGTGTGGAGCAGCTGCTGCATGATGCTGCACATGCTCAACGGCTGCCACCCCTGGACCCAGTACTACAACCACCCCCTCTGCCTGAAGGTGAGTGATGACCCAGCCCCTCTCCAGAGCCAGCAGATGAGCTGCCAGAGCTTCTCATTCCCAGCCAGGGACCCAGCTGGGTGTCTGACACAGCACCAGCCTTGCTTTGGGAGCTCAGCATTCCCTGTGCCCCTGACCTCTGTGCTGGGGCTGCTCCTTTTTTTCCCTGCTCATGACTTGGGTGTGGCTTTTTAACCATTCAGCTGTAATAAAATTGCTGCCCACGTCTCATTTAGTGCTTTTCATTTCAGCTGGAAATGCTCGGGGGAGGGTGGGAAGAACCTTCCTGAAATCAAATGAAGCCTCTCTGGTGTAACCTCTTTCACTTCCTGTTTGCTACACAGATCGCTAAAGAGCCGCCTCCTCTGAGGGAAATTCCACCTTCCTGCAACCCTCTCACTGCTGAGATCATTAAGCTGGGGCTGGAGAAGGAGCCTCTCCAGAGGGCATCTGCAGCAGAGCTCAAAACCAAGACCAGCGTGGCACTTGAGGAAGGTAGAAATGTCCTAATGCAGCCAAACCTCCACACCCCCACTGGCAGAGCTGCTGGATGTGTCAGAGCCACCCCTTGGGGAGCCACCAGCCTGTTTTTTGCTGCCCAGTGTGTCATTTCCACAGGTTTCAAGCGTGGGCTGATGGCTGTTGCCCACAGCTGAGTGCTTCTCACCCAAATAAATCAACATTTCCTGTGTGCTGTCACGTGCTCTTCCTTCTCTGCTGGAGGAGGTGTCGTTGCTCTCTGGGGGTTTCTTCAGGTGTGTGCTGGGCAGCTGAAGCATCAGCTGCAGCTGGAGAGCCTTGACACGCAGCAGAACTGCAAGCAGAGGTTTGGTGCATCCTCAGCTGTAGCTCCTGCTTGTGGTCCAGTCTTGCCTCTAAGACTGATCATAATTTATTTCAGCTTAATCCTGCTGGGTGGTTCTGTAATACAGCAAGAATTTGAGGAGGTGTCTTTTTGTATCCTTTGGAAAAGCAAATACACTTCAGAAACTCTTCTGAGGAGGAGAAACTTTACCATCTTTTTTTTTTTTCCTCTATTTCATAATGTTTGATGGGTTTTTTTTTTTTGCTTTTGCAGTGGGAGGTGTGAGAAGCCCCTGGAAAGGCGAATACAGAGAGCCCAGACGTTTATCTCTGAACAAAGAAAACAACCCCCAGACATCCCTGTCCCCCACAGCAAGCCCAGTCTCTGGGACTGCTTCTGACCCAAAACTGTCAGTCAAAACCTCCTGTGCCAGCCCAGTCCTACCACCACCACCCCTGGAGCAACCACAGGAGGCCGAGGGCACCCGTTGGAACGAGGACAAGGAACCCCCCGAGCCCTGGGATCCCCCACCTCTGTCCTCAACCCCTGTGCCCCTGAGGAGCTGCAGCCACGTGGAGAGAGCCACAACCATTTCAGAACAGGAGCTCCAGCAGCTGGAAATCGGTGAGCCCTGGGCTGGGAGAGGAATATCAGCTCTTTGCTTGAGGGCAGGATGAAGATACAGCTGCTTTCTCCTGGCCCTCCTGGCAGTTATTTTCGGGTTTCCAGCTTGGATGTCGTTTTTGGTCACGGTTCCTTTCTCGCTACACAGATTGCTCAACCTTCCTCTACATTACCAAAACTAGTAGTTCTTAACCAATTAAATGCCCCACAGAGGTGATGAACAGGATTTCCTTCCGCTGAGCAGGGGAGGGACCTTCTGAGAGGTGCAGGAGCCTCTCAGAAAACAGCCCATTTCAGACTTGTGCTCAAGTGACCACGTAAAACAGTGCCAGAATCCCAATTTCGCCTGGATTTTTAGGTTTCAAACATCATTCTTTTAACAAAGGGGTAAGCCAGGGTGATAACAAAGGGATGGCAGATGTCAAGCAGAGCAGTGTAGTTAAAATCAGTCTGCAGATGTTTTGTTCTGGCCACTGGAAAACCTGCAGCCACCAGCCAAAGAATTTGGTGACCGGCAGCAATCCAGAATTGGAGGACCAGCAGTAAATTAGTGTGGCCAGTTCCATTGCCCCAGTATAATACAACATTTCAGGGTTTTTTTTTTTTCCTCTCATATTTTCTATTTGTAAGTGAATTTAAAACTCCAAAAGATGGCTTAAAATGTTAACTGTGTCAGGGAACTGAGGAATGGCATTTTTCACTGACACCGGTATCAGCCTTCATCAGCTGAAGCTGAAGGAGCTTTGGGAATTAATTGCACATCAGAGGAGAAGGAAGGAACCACTGGAAATGTCTTCCCTTCTCTTCTTTTTGCTGCAGAACTGTTTCTGAACAGCCTTTCCCAGCCTTACTCCCTGGAGGAGCAGGAGCAGATGCTCTCCTGCCTGAGCATCGACAGCCCCTTCGTGTCGGACGCCAGCGAGAGGGTGAGTGGGGATGGAGGCAGGGATGGGGCTGTTCTCTGGAAAACTGGGAGCTGTGACCAGCAGAGATCTGGGTTTCTCACTCTTGTTGCTTTTTGACACCCAGTTTGCTGGAGGGAACCCTGGGAGGAAAGCTTTGTCCTGGCACAGAGGGGTGGTGAGGGTTGTGCTTTAGTTCACTGTCCAGCCTGGATCCTGCCCTCCAGGGGCTCTCCTGTGCTGTCTGCTCACTCAGGAAGCTCCAAGTGTGTGGATGTGGAACATCTCAGCAGCCTCTGTGTGCAGGGAAGGGAGCTGGGGAAGCAGTGGTGGGTGCAGGAGCTGTTCCAAGCTGGACCAGGCAGCTGTGCAGAGTCTTTTTTGGGCCACCAATGTAAAGTTTAGGGCAAGACCAGAAGAATGGGGCAGGAAAACAGAGACCAAATCCTGACTATTCATTCCCAGCCTCTGTATCTGTTCTCCATCATCTTACTTTAGCCCACTGATGCTAAGGAATGCACAGTCCAAGACACTGAAATGCTAATTTTAATAATTTTTATTTGCTCTGTCTCTGGTGCTCCCAAGGCAGGGACTGCCAGTGAGAAACACTGAACAAGCCTTGTTGGACCAGGGGAGGACAAAAGCCCTTCCATCATAGTTTCCAAAGACATGGAGTCCCAAATTGTGCAGCCTGGCATCTGCAGGAGTCAGCCCTGGCTAAGAGCAGCTTTGTGTCCTGTTTTTGTCCCTCTTCTCAGCCTTCCAGAGCTTTTTGTGGAGGCACAGGAACGCTGCCTGACTCACAGCCCGGCCTTACATCCCCGTGGCTCTCCACCTTTTACTTTCATGTTTTCCCTCCTGCCGGCTCATTTTCTTCAGGAGCCTTTTGACAAACTTGTGGTTGTTTCTGCAGAACTCCATGAAGGCTTCTCAGAGCTTGAGGGACACTATGAGCTCTGGGATTCATTCCTGGAACAGCCAGGCAGACGGGCAGAGCTTCAGCTGGAACAACCTGCTGAGCCGCAGCCGGCACACCGACACCCCCAGCTACTTCAACGGTGGGTCTGGGGGGCCACAGGTGGGATAAATGCTCAGGAATCATTCCCTCAGTATTTAAAGGAACTGGGAAATGGGCTCTTTGAGCTCTTTTTACCCTTGAGTTGCTGTGTCAGCACTAACCCTCCTAAGGACGGGTTGTGAGGAGCCCAGTCCGCCCCGCTGACGGGTGGGTGGAAGGCAGTGAAATCCAGGGAATTTCCTGAGCACACAGAGCCTGTTCAGCTGTGTGTGCCCTGCCCTGTGTGTTCAGCTTGCCTTGTGCAAAGATGTGTGTTTTATAACCATGAAGGTCCACAGAGTAATTTCGAGGGCACGTTGTGCAAATCAATCCCTTCAGCTGCTTTCCTGCTGAATGCAGCTCTGCCCTGAGTCACTGCTGTCTTCAGGAGGCTCCATGCTCAGCAAAAGACCCACGTAAATGAAAAGCTCAGTGACAAAAAGGAGTCTTTTCCCCTGTGTGTGCCTTGTCAGTCAGTTCTCCTGTGGACTGTGAGGTCGTAACCACTCCTCTCGTGCATCTTCCAGGAGTAAGAATCCAGATCCAGTTGCTCAGTGGCGAAAATTTACACATCAGGGATTTCCACAGGAAAAAGGTGGGAGACATTGCCACGGGGATAAGCAGCCAGGTGAGACACAAACTGGGAGTTGAGTGATTGCTTTTGTCTGAGGAGCAATTTCTTCCCTAGCACAGCCTCCTAACACCTGAAATCCAGGGACTAGGAGTTGTTCAAGGGCCCCAGTGACACCTTTGGTAACAGAACCTCAGTGCTGATGTCATGAGTGTGGTACTAGAGGATGTTTTTTGAATCACTGAATCATTAAGGTCAGACAAGACCTCCAAGATATCCAGTCCGACCTTTGAGCAAATCCCACTAAACCCTATCTTGGAAGTGCCACCTCTCCTTGTTTTTTGAACACTTCCAGAGATGGTGACTCCACCACTGCCCTGGGCAGCCTGTTGCAGTGCCTGATCACTCTTTCAGTGAAGAAATTTTCCTGGTATAAAACCTGAATCGTAAGCCATTGCTAATTGTCATAGGGACAACAGGGATCTGCACCTTAGGAAGTGCCAGTGCTGCAGCTTAAAAAAATCCTTTTCCTCAACTATAAAGATGAATTCTTCCCCCTCTCCCCTAAAGAAGAATCCCTGTGTGCCTTTTTCATCCTGAGCGGCAGCATCAGCTCAGGGAAACAGGCCGTGTGGTGTTTGTTTGGAGATGTTGGCACACTCCAGTGAACCTCTCTGTGGGCATCCTTGGCAGCCCCTGAAAGAAACTCCCACCGTGTCTGTGGGACTGTGACTCATCTGAGTGTAAAATGTGCTGTGGGAGAGGTTGCACCAGTCCAGAAAACGTTCTGGGGGTGCTGGCTCTCTTTGGTGGGCTTACAAAGCCAAATCCCACCGACCTGCAGGGGAGTTCACTCACCCAAACACAGGCAGCTCAGGGACCTCCAGCCACGGCCCTGAGCTCGTGGGAGCAGTTTGGCAGCAGGGTGGGCACTGCCCTGTGCAGTTCTAAGACACTTCCTCACAGGAGAAGGTCAGGATGTTCGTGCCAAGCCCCAGCCTCTCTCCGAGCTCTTTCCTTGCCCTGGGCAGCTGTTTGGTGGGGGTGATAAAGGGGTGGGACGCTCCAAAAAAGGCTCCAAGTGCTACTCTGTGTGTTCTGCTCCCCAGATCCCAGTGCCTGCCTTCAGCCTGGTCACCAAGGAGGGGCACCCCGTGCACTATGACATGGAGGTGCCCGACTCTGGCATCGACCTGCAGTGCACCCTGGCCCCCGACTGCAGCGTCAGCTGGACCTGGCGCGTCAAGCACGGCCGGCTGGAGAACAGGCCCTGAGGTGGTTTGGAGGTTTTTTTCACCTCGTGGAAAGAAGGAATCCCAAAAGCTTCCAGCCTCCCCTGCCGTGGTGGAGCAGCAGGTGGCGTGGCCGGTGTCTGCGCCGCCGCGGGACGCGCCCGGGCCTCGCCTCTGCCGTGCGCTCTGACCCGGCTGCGAGGCACGTCCCGAGCTCAGACCTTCCCCAGGACGGTGGGAATTAACTCGTTTTGGGTGTGAGTGTTGGAGCTGGAGGACGGTGCGGGTGGAAATTCCTGCTTTTCGGAGGAATGTGGTGGTGCTTTTCAGGAGAGCAGGAGGGGGGGTTGGGTGAGAACTGTGGCTCAGCCGGGAGCTGCTGGGCTCGCCCAGGGGAGGAGGGTGGGCGCCCTCGGTGCGGCTGGGGTTGGTTGTGCTGAGAGGAGCTGCCTGACTTCCTTCCAGATGGAGGAAAAAAACACTTCTGTAGGCTTTGGGGAGCATCATCTCCACCTCCAGCCTATTGCACGGGGAGAATCGACAGCAGGAACTGGCTGGTTCTTGGTTTCACCTCCCACCCTTCCCCGCAGACGTTTCCTTCTTGAATCAGAAAAGAACTTTGTTCCCAGAAAGAGCTTTGCTTGCAGCTCCCACTTGCAGGTCTTGGAGGAGCTGGTGCTCTCTCTGGTGTCTCTGGCAGACAGGGCAGGAGGAGGGGATGGAATTCCTTGGTGGGAAGATGGAGGGGCTGTCCCTCCATCCTCTTCCCACTGCTCAGGTGGGACTCCAGGTGAACCGTCCCATCCAGGCAGCTCCCCGGGAAGGGGAGGGGATGTTGGCTCTGTGAGCTCTGACAGGGCTGAATTTTGCTGCAGGGTTCATGTAAATCTCCCTCCCAGCTGCCAGGGCTGAGCCCAGTGCCCCAGCTCTGCCGGCCCAGCCTGGCCTCACGAGGCTTCCCATCCTGCCCTTATTCCCAGCTTTCTTCATGGAGTGGGATGGGCCTGCAGTGCCTTAAAGCTTTGAACTGTTTTTTTTTTGGTTTTTTTTTTTTTTTTTTTACCGATTTGTGAATGTTTGGAAGATGCTGAAACCTCACAGGCCACCTGCAGGTGGGTGGGTGTTGTTCACCCTTCCCCTGCCAGAGGGGGGGGTGTGAGCCCTGAGTGTGCTTGTTCAGGGCTGCTCCAGGGCCTGGCCCAGCTGGAAATCCCAGCCCCTCGTGGTGCCTGTGGCTCTCCCAGAGCTCTGTAACAGCAGTGGCCTCCAAGCAGGGGCTCTGCATCCTGGCTGAGCAGAGAAAACAGCTCCTGAAAAACCAGGTGGGCCCTGCTGGATCCACGGAGGTCTGGGGGACACATCGGGGCAGTTTTCCCAAGTGAAGCTCACTGGGAAAGTAGCTGGGGAAAGTTCAGCTCTGGGGCCTCCTTTTTGAGGACCAGAACTCCTTAAACAAGGGCTGCTCTTCCCTTTGGTCTCCCAGAACATGGGCTGGTTTTGCCACACCAGGCAGTGACATCCTTAGTCAGAAAACTCCAGCTGTTGATGTAATAAAAAAGTGGAGCCCTTGAAGAAAAATGAAACCTGTCACCACTCTGGGCATATTTTTTTTATAGCACTTTTTGTTCTAAAGCACTTAATATGTTGTCCAAAATAGGCACCTAATTATATCTGCAATGCCACGTTCAGAGGCTTTTTAGTAAATAATTAACACATTACACACGTGTCTTCCAGGAGGGAGTGGGGGAAGGGGTAAGTTGGCTCAATTCCTTTTTGAGGTGCCATAAACTGCTCAGAATTGAAGCTCTGGAGCAGGAGGGAGCAAAGTGCCTCTTCCAGGGTTCCCAGGAGCTCCCAAGCACTTGCCCTGGCTGCCTTCCTTGGCTCCCCCTGAGAGGGAGAACCTCTGGGTTGTTTCTGAGGAGCCTGTGGTGATGTGTCACTCCCAGAGCAGGGTGGGTTCCACCCCACAGGCTGCACCTCGTGCTCCTGGTGGTGCCCCCACGTGCTGGTGTGTGGGGCAGGATTGTCTGCAGGACTCTGCCCTTCATCCACAGCATTAACCTCAACTCAGTCCACCTGCACGAGGGGTGGAGGGCAGGAAACCCAGCCCTGTGGGTCGGTGGAGGTGTCCCTGTTCCCCAGGCCAGTTGGGGTGTGTGTCCCGTGGCAGGCAGAGACAGTCCTGCTGCTGGATGGGTTCTGTGCAATGCTGACAGGAGAGGGTCAGGGAAAAAGCTTCTCCTCAAAAAATTTGGCTGCAACTGGGAAGGTTTCATAACGAGTGTTTGGGACAGAACAACCCCGGCTCGGGGCGGGGAGGACAAGCAGCAAGTGGGAGTGATAAACACAGATGGCTCTTGTCGTGCAGCTCCTTCCCAAAGCCTGGAAAAAAATTGCTGTTGGTGAGGGAAGATGGAGCTGAGGAAGCAGTTTGGGATGGGCAGTACCGGTGTGGGGGAAGGTGCTGGAGAGAGGAGCTTGCGTGGAACGAATGACACTTTATAAAACTGTGATTTCTTGACCTGCATTTTCACAGGGAAAAAGAAATAAACCTAAAAAAAAAAAAAAAAAAAAAAAAAAAAAAAAAAAAAAAAAGATTCTTTTTATTCTGGCTGCTAGTGGTCTGATACATTTTCCAAGGAACAAGAGGGTGGTGCTGAATGAGATATTTTTCAGGAAGAGGAGCCTGGGCCTGTTCTGATGAAATTCTGCTATGGGTTAATTAGCCTTGGGTTTGGGGGATGCAGGGAGAGGTCAGGGAGGGTGGTTGGCACTGAACAGGCTCCCCAGGGCAGTGGGCACGGCCCCAAGGCTACCAGAGCTGCAGGAGGGTTTGGACAACACTCCGAGGGACAGGGGGGAATTGTTGGGGTGTCCTGGGCAGAACCAGGAGTTGGAATCCATGATCCCTGTGGGTCCCTCTCAGCTCAGGATATTCTGTGATTTCTGGGGATGAAGAGGCAGCAATAACTTTGATGGATCAAAGCACAGGCCTTGCTGCATATCCTGACATATCTCCTTCCAAAAACACAGTCCCTTTCCTTCCCTCAGTTCCATTCCAGGGGATTTGCTGCAGCAGGAGCTGCTCTGTCTCCTGGGAGGTGCAGCAGGTCCAGGCTCCAGGGCAGGGCTGAGGCAGCAGAGTTCTGCTGGCTCCCCACACCCCTCACTGCTGCTGCAGTTGCTCTCCCTCTGTTTTTATAAACCCTCTTTAGGCCCTGAAGGGGCTCTCAGGTCTCCCTGGAGCCTTCTCTTTAGCTCTCCCAACCTGGCTCCAGAGCAGAGGGGCTCCAGCCCTGGGAGCATTTCCAAGACTTTCTCTGGACTTGATCCAACAGGTCCTTCGTGTCCTGAGGGCCCCAGAGTTGGACACAGTGGTCCAAGTGGGGTCCCCCTTGGGCAGAGGGGAGGGGAGGGCTGTAAAGGTAAAGCTCAGCTTAGGGAAGCACCATCCATCTCCCTCTTGGCTCCAAGGACAGCCCAGCCCAGGGTAGAACAGCCCATGCTGGGCTTTGTCCTGGACCTCGGTCCTTCCTTCCCTCCTTCACAGCATACCCCCCTCCCCACAAACCAACCTTCTCCCAGACGAAATCCTTTATCCTCTGAGACATTTTATTACCAGTTCTGCTTTAGAATTAAACAGGCCTCCAGTATATAAAAATAATGTATACAAATGAGCAGTTAATGGTTTACATTTCTGGCTTAAAGGCATTTATAAGTTACACATTCATTTCCCACCCCTCCCCGGGTGACGCGGAGCCGGCGCTGAAGCAGCTTAAATACAGCGGGAAGCAGCGGCTGCTCTGGGCTGAGCTGGGCTAAAGCTGGGACTGGCGAGGAGGGAGGGACAGGAGGAGGGAGGTGCAGCCGCATCCTCGTAGCGGGGACCGTTTAACCAAGTGAATGCACTGAGGGGTTTCACTGCCACAGTGCGGGGCTTTGGGGGAGGTGGGGGGGTCACTCAGCAGCAGCGGGGCAGGGGAGGGATGGAGGGCTCGGGTCCAGTGCGGTACCGGGAGGCTCGTGCAGCTCTCGGGCCTCCCTGGTGGCAGCAGCGACGCCGCAGCCTTTGGGATCGTGTTTGCTGGAGGTTTCCCCGGCACCCGCAAAACGGGGAGCAGCTCCTGCACCCCCCCCCGGGGCTGACGGACACGGGGGACCGCAGAGGCTCCAGCCCCAACAGCGGAGGCGGATTTGGGGGATGCAGGTGGGCAGAGGCATCACCACCTCGCAGAGATTGTCCCCGCTGCTGATTGTCGCAGCTCCGGAGCCTCCCCTGCGGGCGAGGAACAGCCCAGCCTCGGGATCCTGCGAACAGCTGCTCGGCACAGCCTCAGGATCCTGGGGACACCCTGCTCGTGGGTGTTCCATTCCCTGCTCCCGCAGCACAGAGGAATTTGAAGGAAGACTTAGAAAATCCCTGTTAAAATAGCACCGCTGCCGGGCCCTGGGGTACGGGAGGGGCCCAGGGCGGGAGCTCTGCAGCAGAGGAGGACACGGCTCTCAGGGGGCTCTGCGGGGCCGGGGGGGGTGCGGGACATGTGCGGGGACCGCCGGGTCCCGGGTGACACCCCCTCCCCTCCCGCAGCGGGAATCCAAGGCACCAGCAAGCTGAGGAGTGGGACACACCAGTGCGGGGCTGGGCCCGCGGCGGGCGGGGGATGGAGCAGCCCCGGGGCAGGGACGGGGCAGCCCCTCTTTGCCTTCCAGGACAAGTTGCAGCCCTTTCTGTGCTCTCTGCCCGTCCCCAGGAGGGTCCCCTAGCCCTGCCAGCCCTGGGGGAGAGGAGCTCAGGGGCATCGCCAAGCAAGCGCGGGGGGGGTCCCTGCGCCAGACCCCGGGGCGGGCAGGGGGGAGCTGGCACGGTAAGCGGCTGGAGCAGCTCGGAGCGGGCACTATCCCCCCGCCCCGCGGAGCCCCGGGCCGGTGAGGTGACATCCTGCGGTCCCATCTGCGTCGGGAGGATGGTCCTGCCCCGGTCCTGGAGCTGCAGGGACGCCGCCGGTGTCACAGCGCGATGTCCGGCGTCGCCTGCAGGCTCTGCCCCGCCGGCCGCTTCTTGGCGCTGCCGCGGCCCTTGTCCCCCCGCCGGTACGGGTTGTTCCGCAGATCTGCACCGGGGGGGAGGGCAGGGACCGGCTCAGCTGCACTGCACACCCGGTAGGGGCTGGGAACCCACCACCCATCACGGAATCATGGAGTGGTTTGAGTTGGAAGGGACATTAAAGCCCACCCAGTCCCACCCCCTGCCACGGGCAGGGACACCTTCCACCAGCCCAGGTTGTTCCAAGCCCCGTCCAACCTGGCCTTGGGCACTTCCAAGGATCCAGGGGCAGCCACGGCTGTGCCAGGGCCTCCCCACCCTCCCAGGGAAGAATTGCTTCCCAACATTCAACCTAAACCTCTCCTTCCCCCCTCGTCCTGTCTCGCTGCCCGGGATTTGCCCGTCTGGCAACAAAAACACTCAGAAGGAGCCAAGAGCCACCTGCAGTGACAGGAGGAGCAGCAGCTACAACCACCCAGCCCGTGGGACCCCAAACCCCGGCTGTCATTGCCCATACCGGGGGGGCTGGTGCCGGGGTGCCCCCGGGATTGGGTGCAGCGTGGGGCAGATTCAGCGTGGGGACAAACCCTGCGGGTGGGACAGCCCGGCAGCCCCCGGACACCCGCACGGAGCCCCTGCCCCACGTTACCTACAGAGGGCTCTCCTCGTTGTAGCTCACGTCGCAGAAGAGCCGGGACGAGCGTTTGCCCGTCCGGGCCGTGAAAGGGACAGTTTTCAGAGCTGAGCAGAGCGATCCAGAGACAGTGAGGAGGAGGAGGAGGAGCAGCAGCAGAGAGGAGAGAGGAGGAAGAAGCAGAATAGAAGGAAGAGCTATAAGACAGGGCAGGGAGAGCTTGGCCACGTGGGATGGGAAGGTGCTGCAGGTGAGTTTGATCCCTGCAGTGGGGTTTGGTGATCCTCCAGCTCCTGTGAGAGCCCCTGCAGCCCCCAGAGCAAGGGTATTCCACTGGCAGCAAGCGTTGGGTGTGAGGTGGGGGGGACACCCGACCCCTCACCTGAAATCATCTCTCACCTGAAATTATGTCCTCGATGGCCCCGTCTTTGCCTTCGTAGATGAGAGGCTCCTTCACCATCTGCTTCTTCTTGAGCTCAGCAATCATGTCCATCTGCTGCCGCCTGGCCTTCTGGATGGGCAGCTGGGGAGGGACAGTGTGGGTGAGCGGCACACACACCCCAAGGTACCTGGGGTGCCCTCATCTTCCCCTCCCTCCCAGCTCTCCCTCCCCAGGAGCTGTTTAGTCCCTCCCCACCGCTCAGCCCACTCAGGGCTGGAGCTGAGACCCCACCAGGACAGGGACATGGGAGCACCTTCACCTCCGGTTGCTGCTCGTTGCCAGGGGGGCTGTTTTCTGCCTCTTTGGCTGCGGCCTCTTGTTTCTTCCACAGCTCGATGTCCTGCTCTGCTTTCTTGGGAGAGGGGTAGGAAGGGTGTGCTGAGCCCGGGGGGGTCCTGCTGCCCCAGGGTCTCCCAGCCCCAGCCCCGCCTGTGGCTTCTGCTGGTTGCCCAAAGTGAGGTCAGACCCCCCCAAATCCCCTCCCAACCCTCAGAAACAGGACACCCCCTGCCCTCTCCTACCTTGTAGGCTCTGATGAAGCGCATGAACATGGGGAAGAAGGTGGTGGGGGGACTGGTCTTGGGGTTCTCCCCAAAATACTCCACAGCCGACTCATAGGCCTCCTGCGGGCACAGACACCCCGAGGTGGGGGTTGGGGCTGGGCAGCAGCACCCAATGCCCACCTCCCCCTTCCAGCCTCTCCCACCTCACCATCCCACTCCATATCCCTCCTGCCTGTCCTGCTGGAGCCACATCCCAACCGGGAGCCTCTCCCATGGGCCAGAGGTGCGAGCACCCTGGGGTTGTTCCCATGTAGGAACGGGGGAGGGGGGCAAATCCTACCCCCCCCCCACCACCCCAGCACCCACCTTGGCGGTTTTGCTGTCCGCCTGCAGCTTCTCCATCACCTCCGAGTTGACCTTGAGGAAGTCCTTGAGCACGGGGCTGTCGTCCTGCCGCATGAACTCCCTGCGGGTCAGCTCCATGCCCTGCTGGAGGCTCCGCACGTCCTGCAGGACCCCGTCCAGGGACACTGTGGAGGGAGGGGGGGAGAGCGGGGTCAGGGCAGGCTGGGAGCACCAGGGGCTGCCACAACCCCCCAGGCCAGGGTTGTGGGCACTACCTGTGCCCGCCTTGTCGAGGAAGTGCAGCTCAGTGTGGAAGCCCGTGAGCTCCGGGTACTTCTCCGTGATCACCCGCACCAGGTAGTGCAGCAGCGTCTGCTTGCGGTCCGTGGACTTCATCTCCAGGAGCTGGGGGAGAGCTGTGTCAGCCTTGAGCTGCCCTCACCAGCCCCTCACCCTGCCCAGGGCAGGCTCTGCTGGCCCTTCATCCCCGTGGCTGGGTCTGCACCCCTCCATCCCCACTGCCAGCTCTGCGTCCCTCCAGCCCCGTGGCTGATTCCCATCTTCCTCCATCCCCATGGCTGGGTCTGCCTCCCTCCAACCCCACAGCTCATTCTGCACCCCTCTATGCCCAAGGCTGAGTCTTCATCCCTACATCCCCTCCATCTCCACGTGTGGCCTTCCTCTCTCCCTCCCCACGGCTGCTTCCCATCTTCCTTCATCCCCACAGCTGGTCCTTGAATCCCTTCCCCTCTCCAGATCTGTTCTCCATCCTTCCAACCCCACAGCCAGTTCCTGTGTATCTTCATGCCTTTAACTCCCTCTCCTTGCCTCTTCACCCCTGTAAATGGTCTCTGCATCCCTTCATTCCCACAGCTGATTCCAGTGTCACTCCTACCCCACAGCTGTTCCCTCCACCCTGTAGCTGCTCCCCACGCCTCTCCAAACCCTACAGATGATCCTTTCATCCCTCCAGCTGGTCTGTCCTTGTGTCCCCCTGTGCCCAGGGCTGATCCCTGGGCAGTGCCAGTGCCCCTGAGCAGCCCCCCACGCCGGCCCTACCGCGTCGAGGCTCTGCAGGCGGAACCCGTAAGCTGCTCCCCGCTTGCTGCTGTTCATGTAATTCCCGAAGGCCAGGACGATCTGCAGGGACACAACGGCTCAGGGACACAACCTGGGGTGGA